CCTCTTAGGTAGCAGAAAACAGAACAGACAAGGTTGGGCACAGGATTAAAAATCTACTAAATTAGGGTCATTCGCTTTGTGACACCTGCCTTCTTGAATTTTGACTTTGTCTTAAGGTTTGTGACACACTTTTTCTCCATGCTGCCATCCTGGCCTGAGGTGATGAGGCTCTTTATTACATTCTGCCCCTTAAGTTCACTTTGGCCTGTTGAAGACAGACTGAAACTTTCAAAATAATATTTCAAATGCTAAAGGATCCTTAATTGGAGGTAAATACAGAATTTACAAAGACTGTAACCTTGTAGTTGGCAAATTAGAGAGAATTGATTTCCCCTAATTAGTTTTGCCCCCAGGGCCACAGACTTTGTGGCTTTTTAAGAAATGGGTCATTTGCTTCCCACTGCCTAGAGCTCTTTTCCATATATCCAGGCCCTTCTGAAATTTGTCATCCATATATCTTCTGAGAAGGATGGCCAGGCAGTTCTACAAAGCCCCTATTTCTTGTTCATTTGGTGAGTGTCCAGTAAAGTTGGCATAAGGGGACATTGGCTTCAGATTAGGTGTTAACACATCATGGATTATTATGCAGAGAGAACCCCAAATCAGCCAATAATTCCTGAGGTCAGGCAATTTCCTAATCTGCACTTCTGATCCTGATAAAGTTTCATAATACCAATCAGTGGTTCCCAAACTTGAATGTTCCTCATTCATTCGGAGGGCGTATTTCACCTCCTGAGGCCTGCGATCAGTAGGTCTCAGATGAGGCCTGAGAATTTCTGTGAAATTGTCAGGTAATGATGCTGCTTCTGGTTAAGAACCACAACGTGAACTACGAAGGACAATTTATATGTATGCTGAGCTCACGGTGGAGCTATTATTGGGAGTTTCCAGCTGTCTTGCATATTTTGATTGAAAAAATAGATGTACCCAGTATACCTACAAAGAATAAGTAAAAAGGAAAAATCAATATCAGGTTTTTGGAAATATTTGAACCCTAATTTATAATATGGGGATAATTCAGATTCTGCTCTAATAGTCCCAGTTTTGTGTTTGTTCAAGGCAAACTGAACTCCTAGACAATTGAAGTTTGCTCATTCCTTTTATCTATTATTCACAGGGCTGCTGCCAGAGAATATATATATCAATGCTAATGGTCCACATTATAGTGACTCACATTTAATAAATTTTATTTGGATACTAGCAATTGCTTTTGAAACTTCAAGGAAAGAACATCCTAGAAAATTAAGATCTGTGTTGTCTTTTTAACTAAATTGCTACATCCAAAATAAGCCATGCTACATTTGAAAAAGTCAGTAAATAGGATTATTTCAGAATCTAAAAATCACTGGAAGGTTGTTTTGATGAGAATGTTGAATCTTACTCAATTTTGTTAAATTTACAGGCATTCTTGAAGACTGTATTTTCCAGGTGAGATTTCACAGCATTGTAATCTCTAGGCCTGGAGGACTGCACACTTGCTTTTCTGATGTCAGAGAGAGTGAGCTTAAATATCTCTTCTATTTCTTTTAGCATGAAGGATGTGGTACCCACTTAGCAATCCCTATCCTCCCTTGACATTCCACAGCTCCTTTTTATTCACAGAGTGATGCCAATGTCATTACTTCTCAGTTTTTGTCTTTTGTGAATACTGGAGATCCTCCTGAGGCATGCCATCTTGTCACCGCAAGTCGATATTCATTTGCTTCCTTCAAGGTCCATAGCGCCAGCCTATAATGCTCATCAGAGACAGTTTCATTGTCAAAGTGATTAAGTAAGAAGTATAATTCCTGGCCTAAAAATCATTTGGCCTCCAGTTCCTGAGTGTCTACATCCCAAGGGAAATAAATAGCAATTTTCCAAATGACTATTTGCCGCTTAAAAAAAAATCAACTCTTGACAATAAACCAATTCAACACAGACCATCTGAAATGAGGTATTGTAAGTTAATATTAAGAACGTGCTTAATATTTGTCTGAACATGTAAATAGTGTTTTTGGTGGCTTGACAAATAATTATAAAGGATTTGGCATACAGGATAACATATCTGTGGATTAAAGTATATTTGATAATATAACTCTTTAAAAATCGAACATGGATTAGATAGTTTAGTAAATAGTTTTTTTCTGAACACTGTCCTTCTTTGAAATACTTTTACTAGAAAAATGAAGATCCCAAGAGTTTTAAATCATATGAAGCATAGATCCAGAATCCCTTATGTGAAACTGTTGGGGCTAAATGTGTCTTAAAAGCAGAATTTTTAGATTTTAGAAAACTATTACGGACACAAACTGCATATTACATAACAGCTCCTGTGGGGTGGGGAGCAGCTTCCCGCAATCTAATTTTAACATTTGTATGATGAGATGAATGAATAGTTCCATGAAGCAGAATTTTTAGAAAGGGCTATAAATAACAGTTCAGGTTAGTTTTTGTTGCCAAAAAAGTTATAAAGCACTTTTGTTTTTAGAGCTTTTTGGATTTCACAAGTGCAGATAAGGAATTGTGAATTTGTACCACTCATAAAGTGTTATGATGAATTCATTGATGTTCAGTATGCTCTTGGTAGATATTTGGCAAATTGGGAGAGTCACTTCCTAATTGGTATCAAAGTGAAAATGAATATTTTCCTTAGGGGAGAAACATGGCTTTCTGTGTCACCTCATTAAAGTATCACCTCTTTCCCCTTTCTTTTTTTTATAAGACAGAGTCTTACTCTGTCACACAGGCTGGAGTGCAGTGGCATGATCTCGGCTCACTGTAATCTACTCCTCTGGGGTTCAAGCCATTCTCGTGCCTCAGCCTCCCTAGCAGCTGGGATTACAGGCACCCACCCTCATACCCACCTAATTTTTGTATTTTGAATAGAGACAGGGTTTCACGATGTTGGCCAGGCTGGTCACGTTCCCTTGACCTCAGGTGATCCACCCACCTCAGCCTCCCAAAGTGCTGCAATTACAGGCGTGAGCCGCCATGCCCAACTGCATTCCCCTTTCTGTGTCATCCCTGAAGTGAATGAATTAGATGTAGTTTCTGTTTATTTAATGTTGAAAAATTTGTAAGGATAACGAAAGGATGTAACACGGTACCCTGTAAACCAGAGATATTCAATAAGGAACCATTTTATTTCAGCTTCTTACTAGCAATTTTCTTCCCTTTTCAACCTTTATTTTAGGTTCAGTAGGTACATGTGCAGGTTTGCTACGTGGGTAAATTGCATATCACTGGGAGTTGGTGTACACATGAGTTTATTAGCCAGAAAGTGAGCATAGTACCCAATAAGTAGTTTTTCAACTCTCATCCTCCTCTCACCCTCCACCCTCAAGTAAGCCCTAGTGTCTTTTCACATGTTTGTGTCCATGTATACTCAATGTTTAGCTCCCTTTTATAAGTTACAAAACATGTAGTTGGCATTTCCGTTCTTGCAGTAATTGGCTTAAGGTAATGGCCTCCAGCTGCATCCATGTTGCTGGAAAGGTCTTGATTTTATTTTTTGTTATGGCTGTGCAGAATTCCATCGGGTACATGTATCACATTTTCTGTATCCAGGCCATCATCGATGGGCATCCAGGTTGATAATACATCTTTTCTGTTGTGACTAGTGTTGTGATGACAATATGAGTGCATGTTGATACTAACAGTTAGAGTTTGGGTGGCCCTCATCCATATATGTAGTTATAACCCTGATGTTCAAATTGTACAGATCAGCTGCACAGGGTGGCTCAGAAATGGCTGCTGGGCAGCATATCTTTCCTTACTTGTGCCTTTTTTTTTTTATTTTTTTTTTTTTTTTTTTTCACAAACGAAGATATTTTGCAAAAAATTCAAATAGTGTTTCAAGCATTACCCCTTTAGCCTGTTTTTATCTGTTGTAAATGAGGCTGTCTATCTACAGACATGGCTAAATCTCTTTGAATGCACTTCTATCTATATTTTTATGGCTATATATGGTTCCTATTACTCATCAATTTCAGAGTTCTGCAATACAAGTTCCATGACAATATGTTCATTCACTTTATTTTTATAGATTTTCCAAGGCAGAGGAGTTTAGTTGCTTTTTTTCCAAGTTTTTTTTTTTTTTTTTTTTTTTTTTTTTTAATACGCAATGTGAATAGATGTTTGTCTACACAGCCTGTAAATGTAACAAGTCTTGTTCGTAGGAATTTAGTAATGGGCAGTTGCCAGGAGACAGATATTAATTTCTAGTTGAAAAATTCCTTGGCTTCATTTCACTTTTGTTTTTCTCATTATTTCTTTTATTTCCATCTTTTATCACTCCTTTGTCTGAAATAAACTAAATCTTCTGCTTTATGGAGCATAAGCACTTATAGCTCAAAGAGGATTACTTTCAGATTAATTACAACAGTTTTGATAGCACAGCACAAGAAATACTTTTAAATGTATATGTGAGATTATGAGTAAACTATTACATAGATAATATTTTATGCAGATTTCATTTTTGCCTTTTTTCTCTACAAAGATCTGGGACTCAATGATGACTGCAGCCAGAGGCTCCATAACACTTAACCTCCAGATACAGTTCTTAAAAAAAGGCCTGTTAAGAGCTGCAGATATTTTGCATCCATGCAAACTGCATCAATCGATCTGTATCATGTTGCTAGACTGAATTTCTTTGAAAATGGGAATGACACAGATGTTTCTTCTTTGGTTGTTTCCCTATTTTGACTTTGTTAATTTATGCTATTTATTACCCAAGAACACCTGTAAATTTTGTTTTATTTTGGAGTTTCTCATTTCTCAGTCTGCTTATTTTCATTTATTTCCTTGACTTTTATTGTGTGCCAAAAGATATGTAATATCTTTTACAAAGGCAATGTATGTAGATGAGTTGCAAAGATACCTTTTTTTATTAATTAAATTCCTTTGGCTAAATATCAAGTAAACTTCCCATAGGTCTACTTTTATAAGAAATAGCTGTAGCTTTAAAGAAATTGACATGTAATAATTATATATACTTATGGATTACAGTGATGGTTTGACACATTTAGATCAGATCAGGATAATTAGCAGATTCATCATCTCAAACATTTATTATCTCTGTTTTGGGAATATTCAATATCCTCCCTTCCAGCTATTTGAAAATATATGTTTTGGTTAACCGTAGTTATCCTACAGTGCTATAGAGCAATATAACTTATTCTTCCTATCTAGCTGTAATTTTGTGCTCTTCAAAATTATCACCCTCCTCCCCATCTTTCCCAGTTTCTAGTAAACTTTGTTCTAATTTTTACTTCCAAGAGATCAACTTTTTTTCAGCTTCCATATGAGTGAGAGACTGTAGTGTGTAACTGTTTCTGACTTACGTTACATATTATAATGTCCTCCCCTTTCATCTGTGTTGCTGAAAATGATAAGATTTCCTTCTTTTTCTGTGGCTAAATTGTATTCTATTGTGTATATATGCCACATTTTCTTTACCCATTCATCTGTCGTTGGACACTTGATTTGATTCCTTATTTTGGCTATTGTGAGTAGTGCTGCATTAAACATGGGGATGCAGCTATCTCTTCAATATGTTGAGTTCCTTTCCTTTGGGTAAATAACTGCACATAGTGGGATTGCTTAATCATATGGTATTTCTGTTTGCAGTGTTTTTTTGTCTGTTTGTTTGTTTGTTTTTGAGAAATCTCCACACTGTTCTCCATAGTTTGCATTCCCACCAACAGTGCATAAGATTTCCTTTTCTCCACATCCTCATCAGCATTTGTTACTTTTTATCTTTTTTATTATAGCCATCCTAACTGGGGTAAGATGATACCACATTGTGTGTGGAAATTTGTATTTCCCTGATGATAAGTGATGTTGAGCATTTTTTCATATATTTCTTGAAAAATATCTGTTAAGATGATTTCACCATTTTTAAATTGAACTGTTTCTTTACTGTTGAGATGTTTGAGTTCCTTGTTTACTCTGGATATTAATCCCCTGTTGAAAGAGTAGTTTGCAGATATTTTCTCCTGTTTTGTAAGGTTGCCTTTTCACAGTGTTATTTTCCTTGGAAGTGTAGAAATTTTTTGGTTTAATATACTCCCATTGTTTATTTTTGCTTTTGTTGCCTTTGCTTTTGAGGTCTTTATTCATAAAATCTTTTCCTAAATTAATGTCCTGAAGCATTTCCCCTGTGTTTTCTTCTAGTAGGTTTATAGTTTTGGGTCCCGTAATTAGGTTTATCATTCATTTTGAGTTGCTTTTTATATAGGGTGTGAAATGGGGGGTCTAGTTTCATTTTCTGCATATGGATATCCAGGTTTCCTAGCACTGTTATTGAAGAGGCTATCCTTCCCCCATCTTAGTGAAAATCAGTTGGCTGTAGACATATATTAGTTTTTGTGTTCCATATTCTTTTCCTTTGGTCTATGAGTTTGCGTTTATGTCAATGCCATGCTGTTTTAGTTGCTATAGTTTTATAGTATATTTCGAAGTCTGGTAGTGTAATGCTTCCAGCTTTGCTCTTTTTGCTCAGAGTTGCTTTGCTATTTGTTACCTTTTGTAGTTCTATATCAATTTTCTATTTTTTTAAAAAAGAAATAGATATTCTTTGTGAGTAAACAGGTATTTTTAGAAATATGATTATGGGGAAAAAAAGAGACATTGCAGCTTATCGCATGGCACCACAGTAGTAACGAATTTTCAGGAGCTATTTCTCATAGCAAGGTATAGAACGTTTTTGGAAGCTTTCCAGCAGCTTTTCTCACAGGTCAGGTTTTATAAACAAAATTGCACATCTGCATCCCTTATAAGAAGTAAACTTGAAGCCAGGCCCAGTGGTTCACACCTATAATCTCAGCAATTTGGGAGGCCAAGGCGGGCAGATCATTTGAGGTCAAGAGTTTGAGACCAGCCTAGCCAACATGGTGAAATCCTATCTACTAAAAATACAAAAATTAGTGAGGCATGATGGGGCACACCGGTAGTTCTAGCTACTTGGGGGCTGAGGTGGGATGATGGCTTGAACTCAGAAAGTGGAGGTTGCAGTGAGCTGAGAGTGCTCCACTGGACTCCAGCCTGGGTGACAAAGCAAGACTCTGTCTCAAAAAAGAAAATAAAACAAAAAAGAAAAAAGTGAACTTGAGGCATAAGTGATGAAAATCATTTGTGTTTAATAGTCTAGTGCAGGATCAAGGTCAGAAATGAGAACCAACACACTGGTTAAGCAAAAGTCAAACTTCAACCTGGTAGTACAGCATGGCTCAGAGTCAGAAGATGAAGTATTGATCCATCTAAAATTTATGCCACAATCAGAGCCAATTCAGGCAGAAAAGTCAGAAGAAAGGGTAGGAAAGACAAACCTGGGTGACATCCTGCTATTTACATCTGCTCCTGGATACTTATTCAGTAATCAAAGTGAGGAGGCATATTCTAGCATAGAGATGCTGGGGTACTCATCAGTAACCAACTGGAAAATAAGTTGAATTTCCTTTCTGCTATTAAATTGCCATGAGATTTAAAATAAATTGCTTAAGTCATCCTTGGTCTTTGCTTTTCTTATCTGTAAAAGAAGAAGACTATTGAGACCATCCTGGTCAACACGATGAAACCCCGTGTCTACTAAAACTACAAAAAATTAGCTGGGCATGGTGGTGCGTGCCTGTAATCCCAGCTACTCAGGAGGTTGAGGCAGGAGAATTGCCTGAACCTGGGAGGCGGAGGTTGCAGTGAGCCGAGATCACGCCATTGCACTCCAGCCTGGGTAACAAGAGTGAAACTCCGTCTCAAAAAAAAAAAAAAAAAAAAAAAAAAAGAAGAAGACCATATGCAATTCAACTTCTTTTCTAGCCTAATAATGCTATCATTTTATGTGTTGGTCATAGTGAATATAATAATACATTTGGTTCCTGTTTCCCCTAATGTTAATTTGTGTCATGCTTTAATTTATAGACTTAAATTTATGGTTTTGAGACATTTCTGCATTTTCCTTAACTTTTAGATTCAGGGGTACATATGCACTTTGTTATGTAGGTAAATTGTATGTTGTGGGGATTTGGTGTACAGATTATTTTGTCACCTAGGTAATAAGCATAGCATTTGATAGGTACTTTTTAAATTCTTACCTTCTCCCAACCTCTACCCTCAAGAAGGCCCTGGTGTCTGTTATTCCCTTCTTTGTGTCCATGAGTAGCCATTGTTTAGCTCCATGTATAAGTACAAACATGTGGTATTTGGTTTTCTGTTCTAGTGTTTGTTCAGTTAGGATAATGGCCTCCAGCTTCATCTATGTTGCTTCAAAGGACATGATCTTATTTTTCATGGCTGTATAGTATTCCATGATGTACATACACTACATTTTCTTTGCCCAGTCTATTGTTGATGGACATTTAAGTGTGAAAACCTGCTGTTACATTCAGAGATAGTCTTATAATGAGTCGGTCAAAGCTTATCATAATAAAATTGTTTACAAAACAGCAATAGACAACAAGAGAAAAATGACACGATATCTACATAAAACAAAGATATGGATGACAGCAGACTTCTCAGAAAAGTGCAAGACATAAGACTGTAGAGTAAAACAATCAAAGTTTTAAAATTGTCAATCTTAAATGCTATACCCAGTAAAATGGGTTTCAAAAAGAAAAATGAAATAAGGTCTTTTAATAAATTCTTAAAATTTATAATAGTTTAAGAGTTAGGTAAAAGTTCTACCTATACTATAAAGAATTCCCCTATATGCCATGCCCAGTTTCCCCTATTATTATTAATGCCTTAAGTTATTATTGTGTGATATGATTTGGCTCCACGTCCCTCCCCAAACCTCATGTTGAATCGTAATCCCCAGTGCTGGGGGAGGGATATGGTGGGAGGCGATTGAATCATGGGGACAGATTCCCCCTAGCTGTTCTCATAATAGTGAGTTCCTACGAGATTTGGTTTTTTGAGAGTGTGTAGCACTTTCTCCTTCACTCTCTCTCCCCTGTTGGCCCTCTGAATATGTGCTTACTTCCCTTTTGCCTTCTTCCATGATTGTAAGTTTCCTGCGCTCACCCCAGCCATGCTTCCTATACAGCTTGTGAAACTGTGAGTCAGGTAAATTTTTTTGCTTATAGATTATGCAGTCTCAAGTAGTTCTTTATAGCAGTGTGAGAATAAACTAACACGTTGTGCATCTGTAACAATTAATAAATGAGTACTATCATTATTAACAAAATTTATGGTTTTTTTCAGAATTCCATAGATTTTATCTAATAAATGTCCTTTTCAATCCTACTGTGACGGTTTCTCAAATTGTCTTCATGTTTGATTACCTTGACAGTTTTAACATTTCAATGTTTGAAGTTGACAAAAATTGTATATATTTGTGGTTTGCAATGTGATGTTTTCATATGTATATACATTGTGGAGTGATTAAATCAAGTATTGACCTCAGCAGTTTTGAGAAATATTGTCTGAAGGCTAGTATTTCCTTGGTGTTTCTCACAAGTGTAGAGACTAAGGTTTTGTATTCTTAGGATAAAGATCACAAAGATAAGGTTTTGTATTAGGAGAAAGATCACAAAAATAATTATCACATCATATCAAGGGTATATATTCTTAACATAACTTATCACTGCTTACATTTACGTTTATCACTTTGCTGAGGTAGGTTTGTCAGGTTTCTTTATTATAAAGCTATTCCCCTCCCCTCTTTTCTGCACTGTATTCTTAGGAAGGAATTTACTATGCTTAGCCTGTACTTAAAAAGCAGAGAATTTTGCTCTACTTCTTAAGGGAATGTTATTTCTATAAATTATTTGCAGTTCTTCTGTATAGAAAGATTATTTGGAATTATTTTATACTAATACAGTAGAATACTTATGCATTCAGTCACTCATTTATATACATACAGACTCATGGATATTAATTTTGTGCTTTGAGTTATAATGCAATACTAGTTGCCTTTTTTTTTTTCTGATCAAATTGTTCCAGCTTTAGTCATTGAGAGCCCATTCAACTTGTTCTTGTGTTACTTTGACATATCCCCATCATTGCATTGCAGGTTTTGGTGCTTTATTTTTTTAAAGCACTGTCTTAATTTCTAATATCATGAAATGTTCCAGGATTATTGGTTCATTTTGTATATTTCCTGGCTC